CATATATATAATATATATTTTAAAGATATAAGCTCATACTGATGTTACACTTATCAAGAGCTTTCATTTGAGTACCCACATGCATTTTTGATATATTTTTCATATATACATATATATATATATATATATATATATAATAATATATATAGAAAAATTGATGTGGGTACTCAAATGAAAGGTCTCGATGAGTGTAACATCAGGATGAGCTTATATCTTTGAAAATATCAATAATTCACAAGATACAAGGTCATTTCTTAATTAAGTATCTAGAGATAGAGCATTACTACTAATGACACAAAATTTTTCTTATTCTCTTAATAACATACATTAAAAAATAATTAATAAAAAAAAAACTTACTTGGGCGGTCGCTTTAATTGGGTATTAGCTTTCGAAGCAGCCGGAGTATTTGGTCTTGGCAAAGAAGTAGAAACCGCACGTCTCTGCGGTGAAATCAAATTTTTTTCCTTCGCAGTAAGCGCATGAGTTTTATAAGGCAACGAACTTGGCCTTGTTAAATGACTTCTCGGAGTGCTATTGCTCTCCTGATCGACCCGACTAGTGCGCCTGGGCACTTCCTTCAACTTCAAGTCTGCTTTCTTGGGCATCATCATCATCATCACCTTACTAGTACTCGTAACAGATTTCTTAACCGGAATCCCAGTAGCCGGAATTTTACTCTTCGCCCCCGCAATATTACTCACTGGCTGTTTAATCGGCGAGGTAAGCAGCCGCGGAATTTTAGACTTAGTAACACTAGTGGGAGTTTTCAACGGAGAAGATGGCGAGGTAGCTTCTCTATCATTGCCACCCATGAGCTCCCATTTTTCCTGGAGCCTTCTGAACTTCAGTCCACCTGCTGCATTATCTTTATCATCATCATCATCATCTTCATCAACTTCACCAGCAGTTCTTACATCAAAACTTGACCTGGGCAAGTTTTTCCTATTTCTATTCAACGGAGAGTGCTCCAAGCTATCAGTGTAGTCCTCAGAGTCATCACAAGTAAGCTTATCAAGCACAGGGAACATCTTGGAGCCAATTGCTAAATTACTCCATCGCTTTTTAATATCTGTATTATCATTCTTGACACTCTCAAACCCACAAGAGCGTGGCCTTGCTTTTTTAGGACTCGGAATGACACTTTGTTTCTTATCACCAGCGCTATCATTCGCCCTGAGGCTGTTAACATGACTAAAGCTATTGTGCAATTGCCGGTACTGGTACAAAAGGTCTAATTGGAATGGACACAACGCAAGAGGGTCTAACATACTCAAAAAAGTGTCTATTAATTTCCGTGAATTGGCACAACCTAGCGCAGCAATAAATAAACTCCCGCTATTATAATGCTTGCGTAATATCGTCTCACGAGTGCACAAGTACGCAAACCACGCATCTAGGGCTCTTAAATTAAGCAGTCCAAATACAAAAGCGTGAAACTTAAGAAGTCCTTCAGTCATAAAATCCTCACTATTTATCTTTTGAACAAGTTCATTGAGCGTATGAGTCAGCGGGCCTTGCTGAGAAGAAGCTTCAACTACTTGCCAAACACTGTTAGCAATAGGCCCGAAAGTCGAATTCAATTGCGGCTTTAACCCATCAGACATTATAGCATACAAAGCTGGACACAAATTACTAAGACAAATTTGCGAGCATTCAATTTTATCATTGTAATCTCCCGACCTAGAATTCCAGAATTTGATAAGTAAATCCACAGCTTTGCTAACTGAACTAACCATCAATTGTTTCGCTTCCAAATTAATTTTTTTATCATCCAAATATCCCGCAAAGCTGACAGTTTTTTTCTGAGACTCCAGCATCTCAGCTCTGACAATATCCTTGTTCATTTTCAACGCCAAGAATTTCCTGACATAAGATCTCAATTTAACATCAGGATCTTCACCGTCGTCGCTGCTGGAACTAAATCCACTGCGCTTTAAAAACTCTTCCAGCTGCTTAACATCATCACCACCACTAGACTCAAGATCCATTGTTGCCTCCGGGACTCGGTAATTACCGACTTCTCGCATACGCTCAGCGTATCGCTTCTCTTCAACCTCATCAACGTCCTTGTCAGAGTCAATGATCCTCCCGTGTCTCAACAATTGCAAATCATTGTTAATATAATACGGCTCTTGCAAAGACATCCGTTTGTTTGGTTCATTGTCAGACTTTAATTGATCTTCAACCTCCTCAACGCCTCCCATTTCAAACATGCTGTACCTCTTATTACCTGATTTATTTTTCCTTAGAATGCTTCTTGGTAAAGGAGGCCGCGGTGGGACTCTACCAATATACTCTCCAGCATTTTCTTTTTCTCCATGCGGAAGAGATATAGATCTTTTAGGAAAGCCAGGTAACTTGTGACCAGTTAAAGTTCTTGCCTGGTGAGATTTTTTGTCCTGACTAATCAAACTATTTTCTGAACTACCACTATCATACCGATAAAGATAAAGAGGATTGGTACTGGTTTGTTGGTTCGTCAACGAATCAGTAAGTATTGTCGAAGACCCACGATACCCTGAAGAAGGCTGGGTTCCAGTGCTGCTGCTGCTGGATGACACATTGGTAGGCACTTCCACAGATCTTCCCTTTTGCCTCATCGGAGGTGACAAACAAAACAGCGGTTTTTTGGTTTCCTCACCTAGTTTTATATGACTAGGTACCTCAGGGACGTCGTGTAGAACTTTACGATACTCTGTAGGAAGTAAGAATGTCAACGATTCCCAATCTTTTACGTGAGAGAACCCACGCTGCTTCAGAGACTCAATGTCGTTGCAGGAAAATGGTCTGCTGTTGCGCCCAGCTTTCTTCCAGCTCATTCGCTCTTGAGGTTTTAATGCTACGTTGTTTATTTTTACCTCCTTGCTGTTTAAAAATGACAAGTCAGGTAACACGTAATTAGGGTAGACTACATACACGGGCTTTTTGTCGACAAATGTCTCGCGTAAATGGGGGTAGTAGTCATTTTTAGAAGGTAAAGTGTACAGGAGAGATGTCTGGACTCCATTGTCTTCAACTTCTCTTATTGTTTGGATCCCTGTGGTCTTGGAAATTGGTATTGACTCTTGCTCGGGTTTACTCCAGGCTATTTTAATGTTCTTCACAAATTCACTGTCTCTTAATTGCAAATCAGGGATTATTTTATCAGTAATTTCTGATTTTAAAATACTCTCGGATAATTCTTCTACTGAAGGTGATTCTTGTTTGAATTCTTTAATAGATGGCACACGTTTAGATGTATTGGAACTGTCGGTTGTTCCAGAACTTTTATAGCAGTCAGTTTTAACCCAGTTGATAGAAAAATCATTCTCCGGAATGTTATTTTTACAATTTTCATTAATATTATTATTAATTCTTTGAATCTGTGTGTTTGTGTTTCTACTTGCGCTGCTGCTGTTACTAGCAGGCCAACCATTGTCACTAGCAGAGTCTGATTGATCCAACGTCAAGCTCATACCTTCAGCGCTCATGCTTTTTTGCTTCATAAATAATTTAACCAGACTCATATTTTGAACTTTTTTACCAGAGGTGTTGCTGTTTGAGCTCTCGTTCACAGACCTGCTCATCGCGGAGCTAGAGCTGTGCGAGTGCTGGTGATGCGACTCTGCAGAGTCCATTGAAAAATTCAACGGGATGTTTATTTGGTCAAAGTCACGCGTTTTTCTCAAGTCAGGTAAACTCAAGCTCCTTTTGGTGGAATTCAACATTACAGTCGCGGGTATTGGGGTTCCTTGAAGAAAATTTGGGATGGTGTTATTGTTACCAGACCCGTGTCGTTTCATAACTTTGGTCGCTGATAAGTATTTTAAGTTACTCCAAGTTGTGTATATTTTGGAATCCGAACAAGCCATTGAGTAGTCCAACATGTTTTTCAAGTCCATTTTACTTGGGTTGTAATAATTTTCTCGTAATTCATACGCTTTATGTTTTTCTGCAATAAAAAAATTATTTTCTTAAGATAAAATTTAAATTGAATAAAAATTTACTAGCAACCTTGCAGTCATTATGTGACTGCGGTGACTTGTCAACTATAAATAAATAAAATTTTGCTTGACTAAATAATGACTTTTGTTAAATTGCACTGTACTTTTTTAAATATTGACGTTTTTAATAATATATCAAGAGCTTTCATTTGAGTACCCACATGCATTTTTTATATATTTTTCATAAAATATATGAAAAATTGATGTAGGTACTCAAATGAAAGGTCTTGATGAGTGTAACATCGGGATGAGCTAATATCTTTAAAAATGTCAATAGTTCACAAGATACAAAGTCATTTCTTAATTATGTTAAATTGCATTGTACTTTCTTAACTATTGACATTTTTAAAAATATAAGCCCATACCGATGTTACACTCATCAAGAGCTTTCATTTGAGTACCCACATGCATTTTTGATATATTTTTCATATATACATATATATAAATATATAAAATATATGAAAAATTGATGTGGGTACTCAAATGAAAGGTCTCGATGAATGTAACATCGGAATGAGCTTATAACTTTAAAAATATCAATATTTTACAAGATACAAGGTCATTTCTTGACCTTGTAAACCTTGAAAAGGCATAAATTTAAGTCAAGACCTTTGCAATGACAATAAATATCACTAAAATAACCGATTTCATCATATGACTATCCTGAAAACAAAATTTTGCTTATTCTCATAATAATACAGATGACAGTAATAATTTAAAAAAATAAAATTATTACCTTGACTCTCGAAATCCACTTGAGAGCCATCGGAATACATCGTCATGCTGCCTTCAAAAGCGATTGTATAATTGTTCTTGTTATTAGCTTGACACGTCAATAACATGTCTTCGCAGTCCAGCGAGTCAACGCTGTAGCTACCACCCGGTGGCAGAACTGGAGTTTCTTTAACTGGCGAAAAAAGCAGCGATGACTTGCAAATAGAAATTGTATCCGCGGTTGAACAGGCTGAGTCTTCGCCCTAAAAAACAAAATTATAGCATTAGTTACAAATATTATAATTATAAGAATTATTAATTTAATTATATCCCAATTGACATGCTGCTATTGAATAAAAAGAAATGTATTATTTAAAAATAATAATAATAAAAATAATTTTCAAGTCCCTTGAGCAATGGAAGTCTGTCATGCTTGATTGATTGATAAGCGCAAACTGATAATAAAAAATGATAATAAATTTATTAAATAAGCAGAAAATAATTAATGACACAAAGCTTATTTGTTGTTTATTTTTTTGGATGCAGTCCATTTCATACCTGACTGCTGGTATGAGGACTGATTGACGAACCAATGTCGATTTTTTCCATCACTGAGCCAGATATACTGGCATAACGTTCCCTTTGATAGTTAAACTGTTAAAAATTTATCAAAGCTTTTAACTCCCCAGTTATTAAAAGTATTTTAATTTATATTTAATTTTAGGCTCTAAAAATAAAGTACTTGAGTTTAAAAAAAGTAAATATTACCTCTGACTGTTGAATAGGATCGGTACACATAACAGGTAAAGCTGTAAGCAGAGTATGTATATCTGCGGTTCGGAAACTCTCCATATCAACTTCAGCAAGATTGGCATCCAAATTTCTTGCCAAGTCGTCGTAGTAACCCAAGTCCTCTTGAGTGTAAGAAGTAGAAAGTGATGAAAGTACACTTGGATGGACGTGTAATCCTCCATCTCGATAACTGGGCAATAGATTTTATTATTTGTTAAAGTTCAATTTTAGTAATTAAATATCAAATCGATCAAATATACTAAATAAATTACTTCCAGTAATTATTTATCAGATAAATTTTAGGGGTGTGCGAATATCGTTCGAATCGAATCGAATCGAATATTGATATTCGATTCGAAATTCGAACCGAATAATTCGAATTTTCGAATTAATCAACATTCGACGAATAATTCGAAAGAATTATTCAATTCGAATTTTGAATCGAATAATTCGTAAGTTCAAATTATTCGCACACCCCTAATAAATTTATTCATTTGATTGGGTTTGTATTTAATAAATATTGATCTTCGGTTTTTAAAGAATGAATTATTTTTTTAATTAAAATATTAAAGAATTTTTGGAATTAAATTAATATTTTTAGACTAAGAGAAGAAATAAAATTCATGAAAATTTATTTAAATTGTGATAATCAATTTTTTTTTTTAATTGTTTTTTTTTTTTATGAATTAAAAAAAAATAATTCAATAAAATTAAATAAAAATTTCGTTAAAAAAAAAATGAAAATTAAAATTCTTGACTCCACTTGTAAATATTTATCAAAAACTTTTTTAAGAAATAAGACTACGATACTAAAATAAAATTTTAAAAAAATTAAATTCATGTTATTCTAAACGGTAATATAATATATAACTATATGGGAAAGAAAAGTCTACCGTTTTGAACTGGAGATAAAAAAATTAAAGCATTAAGATAACCTATCGAAAACTAGAACAGAAATTATACCTCGACCTTAAATTTAACATTCTTTTTGAATAACTTGATTGTATTCTTAACTGTTATCTACTCACTGAGTCACAAACTTTTTTTACATATATAAATAAACCATACAAACATTTTCTAAAATGTACCGGTATATTGATTCTCAGTGTATTGTAAATAAAAAATAAATTATGTAAATTAATTTCTACTACATTTGACGAGAAAAAAAAAAAATTTTGTCACAAAATTAACTTAAATGGAATTGTGATAAAAAATTTTACCCATAATCTATAAACCACTGATAGTCCGAGTTATCTTGAATAAATTCCGAGCTTATGAGATCCTGAGAAATAGGATCTGCTGGATTGGAATTACAATCCGAACCGGGAGTCTGTGGATCTTCCATCATTGTAGCTCTCTTACCAGCGCCTATAAATAAACAAAAAAGATAAAATACAAATTGTAGTAGCAGCAGTATTAGTATAGTAGAGCACTTTCAATTATTCTCTTCTATAAATAAATATCCAATAAAATAAATCTTTAAAACTCCATACAATCCATAAATTAAATTAAATTAAATGAATTTAAAACCCACGGTCCACGATTCGCGATACACATTGCATCATAACTCAGATAACTATTTAAGATGTTAGTGCATCTATTAATACTCTAAGTGTACCAATTATGAATAAATTTTTAGTGTTTGAATTATTAATAAAGCATTGTCAATTGTAAACATTATTATTATGTTGAAACATACACCCAGTATGTTTTTTCTTCATTAATTCCATAACACTTCACATCCTAATTTAATATTTATTTATAACTTTCTGTAATTAGGTATCTGTGTTAATTATTTATTAAATAGGAAAATGATTATACAATTTTAAAGTGAAAATTAATTTAGAAATTTGATAATTTTTTTAACAAAAAAATTAACATATAGAAATTTTAAAAAATTAAAAATTTAATCTTTTAAAAATAATTTTTTTGTTAAAAAAAATGAAAATTAGTTCAGAAGATATTTAATAATTTTTTTAACAAGTAAATTGTGACAAAAAAAAATTTTTTTAAAAATTAAAAATGCAATTTTTTAATTAAAAAAAAAATTAAAATTAGTTTAAAAGATATTTAATAATTTTTTTAAAAAATAAATTGAGGCAAAAAAAAATTTTTTAAAATTAAAAAATGAAATTTTTTAAAAATATTTTTGTTAAAAAAAAATTAAAAAATTTTAATGTCATATTTTTAGAAAATAAATAAAAAAAACTATCGACTATTTACTAAAAAATTATAAACTAGATATAATACGAGAAAGTTTAGTAACGCCTTTTAATTTCCCTTTTAATAGAATGTTGTTCACCGTGATTGCCAAGACAAATAACAATAACAGCTTAATAAAGTTATCAGGACATTTGACAAAAACAGCGCACTTAATTTCTGAGTTGAAAAAAAAATTATTTATTATTATTATTATTATTATTATTGTAATAATATTTATGGAATACAATAGAATCCTATTTCGAGAGACTATTACTAACCTTCTTACATAGCAATTGCACGATCGATCCAACTCTCGTACGTAGGCGATACACTTACAAACAATGGGATATTATGACACATAACGTGGATAAATTGACATGGATAATAAACTGACACTAAGTCGATTGTCGAGCAACAATGTCAAAAGCAACAATTCTTAAAGATAAATAAACAATTGCACTCTAGAAGAAGTTAAGTAGGATTTTTTGAGAGATGAAAACATCCACACAGTGTGTTCGCCACCTCGCCATTCGCGGCACTGCTGCTCTTAGAATTTCGAAATGTACGATGGACGTTCAGGGATATTTAACACATTCATACCTTATCTGTATATATGACTGAGGTTTTATGCACATTTATACTGTGTGTGTAAGGAGAAAAATCAAGTGTAGGCCGTACTTAGTGACGTCACGCAAGTATGGCGGCGTAAATTTAAATGCGCATGCGCGGGAAGATAATTTTAATTTTTCCCGCGGTTTTTTCAAATGTTAAAATTTATTTTTTTTTTAATTATTATCAATAATAATAATAATAATAAAATAAAACCATTCAAATTTTTTATTAATTAAATTATAAAAATTTTAATCTTTAATTATAATAATTAAATTCATAGAAATCTTTCAATTTTGTTGATTTTTATAACTAAGTTATTATAAAAAAAAATTTAATAAAAAATGCAAATTAAAAAAAAGTATTTTTCTTCTTTAATAGATTTAAAAAAAATTTTTCAATTGATTTTATCATTATTTTTAATTTAGTTTAAAATTTTAAATAATTATATTTATCATAAAATAATTTTCAAAATGAAAAATTATTATTATTAATAATAATAAATAAATTAAAAAATTTCTTTTCCTTAAATTTATTCTCCAAATGAATTACCACTCACTTATTCAATTTATTATTATTCACAAAAAAAGAAACTAAACAGATATTTAATTGTCAAAAAAAAATTCTTGATTACAGTAGTTAAATATTTTTTTTTTTTATCTAACGGCTTTGTCATACATAATGCGTCATCGTACTCTTTCCCGTGCGTGTGACGAATGTCAAATTAATTAGCAACACAATTATATTTTCATTATTTATCAGTTAACAACCAACTACAATATATGTCATTTACAAAAAGCTCTTTTTCAATTAAAAATTTCCCCTAAATTAATCTCCAATAATTCCCTCAAGACGCGCTTTATATTTTTCTCCAAAATTATAAATATAAAAATGTAAACATTACCTAAGCGAGTCATTTTATTTTTATCAAAATAACTGATAGCCACAACGGATTGATAAGAACTTTTACCGAACTTTGCATAAAATATTTACGAAATAAATATTCAAGAAAATCACAGTAAAACGATACACGTCCATAGATACAACTGAGTCCGCTTACGGTTTAATACTGACTACTGACTACTAGAAGCTAGCGTATATACTTTCATAACATATTTTACTGGTAGTTAATCAGCGACATGATTACAATACACGACTACTTAATGTAACTGAAGATAATAATAATCCAAGAAACTTTCATTGTCTTCATAATGAAGGCATAAACTGCGCATGAGTTACTGTAATAAGATATTTAAGTTTTTGAGTTCATTGACTAAAAGTACTTGTATTATTAATCTTTAAAACGTCCATTGTCAATGTTAATAACAAAATAATTGCTTTGCAACATTTTTATTTGAATTGAATTACTCATCGTGAATATTGAACGAATTTTCTAAAGAAGAAAAAGCTTTATTGCTTTGATATTAAATATTTTATCTTTTCAATCAAAGCGCCATTAATGCGTAAAGAATTCTTGAAGTTTAAACTTGAAAAATAAAACTTGTTTGACATACGATATACAATGTACAATGTATAATACACAATACAATAAAAGAAGAAATAGTTCAAGTGCATGATGCATTTTATAACTGGGCGTATACCGTTCTTACTCTATACCTACTTCTCGAATAATGTTGCACAGAAATGTCGACTGTATGAAGTAATTTTAGACAACTTTGAGACTCCTGCCTCTGGCTACAGTAATAACGAGTTAGTCTTTCTGGCAATCTAAAAAATTACTGCAAATAACTTGGCACTTACTGATTTTATTTCATTTATGTCCGTGAAATTTAATCGCTCTCTTATAACTTTTCTTGTGCATACTTAACTTTTCTATTTATTGTTTCTAAAGTATTTAATGAAAAATATACATAAATTTTTAACTTAATTGAAAAATAAATTTCTTCTTTGGTTTATTAAATTATTTTTAAAAATATCTTGTTTCATTTTTTAGCATTTGGGTGGTAAAATAAAATTTAAGTGCATACAATTGAAAATATATTTAACCTTAGTGTCGTTTTATGAATTTGACTTAATAAAATGTTGTATATCAATTACTTTACCACACACATGGCTCTTCACCAGCTGTTAAATTCATTTTGACATGCTGTGTAATGTATTAGTCAGTGTAGAAGAATTTTTGTGAAGTCACGTGTTTTTTAGACAGCTTTAGAATTTTAAAACAGTTTTTAATTGTGGATAATTTATGAAGAATGAAATAAATTAATTAATTTTTGTTTAATTAATTTTTTTAATTAATGTAATTTAATTTTATATACTTCTCTATGTATATTGCCTACAGGCGTAAGCAAATGAACTAATAAAAAAGAAAAAATTATTTTCTTCAAAAAAACAGAAGGAAAAAAATAAATTTTGATAAAAAACTAATTTTTAAAAAAATTAGTACTGTAATTAAAAAAAAAAAAAAATTTATCAATACAAAATATTTGTAATTTTTCATAAAAAATTAACTGTCTTTTTTATATTTAATTATATGCTAGAAAAATTAAATATCTTCTCTACTAAATTATTTTTTTTTTTAATTATAGTACTAATTTTTTTGAAAAGAAATTTTTTATAAAAATTTATTTTTTTTCTTCTGATTTTTTTAAAGAAAACCATTTTTTCATTGATTAATAATTTTTTAAAATTAAATTTGAAATAAATTTCTTGAAAATTATTTTGAATAAAAATGAAATAATTTTCTATTTTTTTTTTTTTTTTAAAGAAATAAATTTTATGATAAATGTATGTAAGTTTGAATCGTTTGATTTATAGAGAGGAAGTGGGATAAAGTTTAATCAACCACTTAAAGGTACTTATCGCGTTATTAGAACAATCATACATCACGTGATTAATTGGGCTATTTATAAACTCTGGATCTAATTGAAAAAATCAATAACAATTAAATTGAAGAAGAAAAAAAAATAATCCTTACGTTTTTTGTTGTTTTTGTTGCACTGATACTTATTATTGATATTAATCCATTTCCGAATTTTGCGCTTATTATTGTTATTATCGTTGTAAGTATTGAAATTATTGAAATTATGGATATAATAAGGCGGCGAATGTCTTGAAAGAGTCGGGCTAACACGCCCAACGGATAACTCAGCAATCTTCATAATTACGCACAAAAAAAGCACTAGCATCATTTGAAAAATGTACTAGTTGTACGGAAGGCTTTCTAATGCCTCTGCTCTTATTTACTGCATCGTTTGTCTTTCTATTTCTCGTCAGAGTTTTTTACCACTAATGCTCATACACTGCGAGTTTATGTATTCAAAGCACAAAGTTAAAAGCACATAAAATTTAAATAAAAGAAAATAAACAAAAAAAAAAAAATGTTTTTTACATAGTTCACTGCACCGTTTATGCTCTTATATTAATATAAACATGTAATGCATGTGTGTAGTACTTAATTTGATGAGCTGCAAATTAACGTCTGCATTTAAATGGTGTCACTGTTAATCCAATTTATAAATTCAATTAATTAAACATGAACAAAATAGTCATTGCTGTACAAATTATTTCTTCAAAGACATTTTTTTTTATTTCTTCTTTTAAAATATGATACTGGGTGTAAAAAAAATTATTTATATTAATATCAAGGGACAGATATGTTTACATTGATAAATAGTAAAGCTATCTGTCAATTGAAATTGATATCTAACAAATAATTTAACTTGTCAGCAGTAAATAAATTTAATTAAATTATTATAAAAGAAGAAATATATAATTTATGGTAGCTAAGTTTATATTAATTAAAAAAATTGACATATAATCATTTTTATGATTTTTTTATAAAAATTAATTACTCTAGAGAAATTTTTCATCTGGATTTAAAAAAAAAACTATATGAACAATTAAAAAAAATATTTTTCTAAGATGAAACTAAAATTAGCAAACTTGAGTATTTTTTAATTGTTTTTAATTAATAAATAAATTGTAAATAATTATTCTTTAAGAATTACATTAGTAATTTTTTTTAATTCTTAATTTTTTTTTTTTTTATATTTAATTTGATAAAAAAATTATGTCTCTTAAATTAATTATAATTTTTTTAGTACTAATTTATTTTTAAAATAAAATCAATAAATAAATTTATTGAAATAATAATGAAAGAAGAAATGTGTAATTAACAGTTTTAAAGTTTGAATAAATTAATAAAATAAAATATACAGCAGTGTCTACTTAAGGAAAAATAATTTGACGGGTAATAGTAACAACTACCAATTTATCATGATAATAACTTGGATGACGTCAATGTAAGCACATTGAGTTGTGTTAAATTGCAACAAGTGATGAACGAATTGTTCCAATTAATCGAATGGCTGATGTGATAACAGGGTGTCGTTCTCATTTAAATTATTGTTATGGTTCAATGAACATAGAAATTCTATTTCTGCAGACAATTTAACTTTTTATAATTATGTGATAGCAGACATTTGTCAGTTTTTGTTTTTAATCAATAAAAAAATTCCATTTATAATTCTTCAAATTTTTTTTCAATAAAAATTTTCAAATGTCAGCTGATTTAATTTTCACATAATTATTATTGACAGTAAAAATGATATTTAACACAAAAAAATCATCAATTCAATAACTAACGCACTAATTTTATTTTAAAATCCAAAATGTCACTTCCGCGGGAGTCTTTATTCAGCGCGTTACTCAGCTGAAATTGCACAGCGAAATATAATCCAAATAAAGTTCACCATGGATCCAAATAAAATATGATTGATCTTCAATAAAATATCAAAGAAAGTTTATCAGTAACTATTTGCGCGTGTTAATGGCGGACACTCACGATAAAATGGCGAAGAGTTATTAGTTATTATTTAGATATTTTATTTAGCCACAAGCTTTACTTCAAGCTTGCCTGTAGTTAACTGCTGGCTTGGACTTCAACCGCGCGGGAGATCACTTGCACACGACACTACACGACGCGAACGTTTAATCTCTATTAATAAATACCCGGAGCAGGGTACGGCGAGAATAGAGTTCTGCCAACGCTCATCTCATACGAACTATGCTCATCTTCACTTACTCATTGAATCAACCCTGGTGTTAGACTTAACTTGCCACTTTATTATCATTTTTATTTTCCAATAAAAAGTCAATTTTATTTTTATTTTATCTTTAGATTATTATAAGCTTCATGGTTGTTTTATTTACAGCTTCACTTTTAAGTTTTTCAAACTAAATAATGAGTTTAAAATTTTCTAATGAGACAAAAGGTAATTTTTAAATCAATTAATTAATAAAAAATTTATTTATTGTAATAATTTAATTTTCAAATGTTCATTCATTTCAGTATGATAAATTTAATTTATAAAAAAATAATCGCACTGAAATTGACATTAAAAATTTTTTTAGTACTTTATAGCAATTAAATTATTATCAAAAAATTTATTTAAAAATTCCACATATAAACATTAATAAAAATTATAAGTGATAATTTTTAGAAGCATTTTTTTATTATAATTGATTTGTTATTAAAATTTTTAAAATTTACAGCTGACGGCTAACATCAATATTATAAAAAAAAGACATGTTTAAAGATTTTAAAAAAAAAAAAAATTCAAAAAATAATCAACAGTTGCTGATTTTAAAAAGAGCGAACGGAAACTCTTAAAATAAAATTTCTAAGAAGAAATTTAAGAAAAGAATTTAAAATTTAAAAATAATTAATAATTAAAAAATATAGATTTAATTATATTAAAGAAGAAATGTTTATTCTTCACTCAGAGTAAGTGCTCCATTTTTTTTTCTTTTGTTTCAAAAAGTTATTCAATCCAAAGTTTCAGATTGTCCTAGATTTTAAATTCACCAAGTCAACATTACTTTTTGAGACATATTTCTCTAGATGAACATAAAAGTAGAAAGTGGTTTTTATAAATAAAAAAAAAAAAAAAAGGATTTTAGTAGACTAATATTTAATTGAAGGTAATTAAAGATAATATCATCCGGCAGACTATCCCCTATGACCTTTAAAATAAAATACTCCAATATTGATGCACCCGCATCAATTTCTGACCCAATTCAGTCCCTCTTTTCAATAAAAATTGTATTGTATTTTATAATTGTAAATATTTACTCAACTTATTAGCTTCTTAGGCTAAAAATACAAACGCGATTCTCAGCAAGAGAGTTTAAGGGCAAAAACAAACTTAGATGTCATATTTGAGCCCAATGGATCCAAATCTCAAAATAGTAAACTAAACCGGTAGGTATTTTGTTATATTAAGGATTAAACATTAAAGGTATATTTATACTTTATCCCACGTGTGTATCAATGTACCTACTCACAGCATATAGTAGTTTTTTACGTTTTACAGTACATGGAGAGTACCACGCACATGTGAGATGATGCATGTTCGTTTAAAATAACAGCCCTCGTTGATTCAAACCGCACATATGTGCCAAGCAGTAAACCATAGAGAATTAAAATAAAATAAAATTCTTATTTTCTTCTTTCATAGCTCATCGATTTAAAATTGCAATAAAATTAATCTCACAATTTATTATTATTATTTTTAGAGATTAAAGACTTATATTTTATCACGGCAATTAAAACTTTGAGTTGGAGGGTCCGTCGTGCTTTTAAAGTTTCTTCCCGAATTTGAGTGGAGGTTATTGCTAACTGGGTTACACGAAATTGCGCATTGCTTTCATCCTTGGGATCAAACACTAAACATAGAGCGGGTGAACTAAAAATTATTTCTTCTTTAAATTATTATTTATTAAGTAAAGCTTCATTTTTTAGGATTTAATTGGGAAGAAATGGAATATATTTCTTCACAGGAAAATATTGAAGGTAATCATTACAATTGATAACCTGATTGGATGTAACCTAATTGATTTGTTGCATAAGTCTGTCAGAAATAACAACAGCAACAATAACAGTCGAAGAAAAAAAATCTAGCGGGATGGTTAACTTCTTACTTCCTAGAAAATAAGCACCAGTTGGAAGAGATCCAAGCATGTTGGCAAGACTCGATTACTAACGACAATCACAATGCACTTTTTGAAAGTTTCTTTTTACTCTATTCCCTCCTATCATTATTTATATCGTGAACTCTGTTGCGGCTGAGGGCTTTGATGAAACCTAAGAAAGTTATACGCTACACAATATAAAACAACTAAGAAAGATGTGTAGAGAGAGCTAGAAGTGTTTATTGATTAAAATAGAGATGTATCAACACTACATGTAGTCAACAGTTACTGACATTTGTAAAAGGACAATGACTTGATAAGTAATGCTTACCAACCTGGATATAAAATTACACTTCATTTTATTTTTATTTCTTCTTTATTAATTATTGGCGTTTTAATGTTGTTAGTTTGTAAAATGTGACTGATACTCGAGTAAAACGTATTAACAACCCTCTTGGATGTTTAAGGTTTCAATTCAATTATAATGAACAAACTTTGTAATTAGTTTTCTAGAGTAGAACTCAATAGATAGTTATTTGTATTTGAATTTTATAATATTTGCTTAGTTTAAAATTGTGAACTATAAAAAATTAAAAATTTGCTTTATTAAATAATGAATTTTGTTAAATTGCACTGCAATTTCTTAAATATTGACATTTTTAAAGATATAAGCTCATTTTGATGTTACACTCATCAAGAGCTTTCATTTGAGTACCTACATGCATTTTTGATATATTTTATATATATACATATGAAAAATTGATGTGGGTACTCAAATGAAAGGTCTCGATGAGTATAACATCAATATCAGCTTATATCTTTAAAAATGTCAATATTTCACAAGATAAAAGGTCATTTCTTAATTATGTATCTAGAGATAGAGCATTTTCGAATGCAGCCTAAATACTTATAATAAATTGACTTGAAAACAAAATTTTTCTTATTCTCTTAACAATATGTATTTCTTTAAAAATATTATTATTATTATAATTTAGGGTTTTTATAATGAAATAATAATAATAATAATAATAATAATATTTTGAAAAAGCACTTTGAAATATTACAAGTGTTCTTCATAATTATTTGTTGCTTTTTAAAGATTCAAGAACCTTTCTTAATGAAAAGCTGCAACTATAGTAAGTAACATAAAAAAAAAATTTTATATTTTCTACTGTCCTAATTTCTAAAATTTCTACTCTGATTTCAAAAGGCGTTTGTTCTAAATATTAATTCCATACTTTTAAATCAGCAAAACGAATTTTTATAAAATAAAAGCTTCACTCCACTGAATACAATTTTTTTTATCCTCTTCAGTGAATTGAATAATCCTCTCAGCAGAATTTATTACCATCGAATTAGAAATATAAAAAAAAAAGGAAGAAAGAAGAAAAAAAATATTTCTGAATATTTGTTGAGAACTCAGACTACAATTCTCAAAGCTTTAGTCAATATTAGAGCAATACTCACGTTCATGTTGAAGCTCCAACCAGAAAATCGTTAATCCACGGTGGTAGTTTCACATTCACACAAACTTTATTTTCTCCAGATTTAGGTGTTTTTTTTTTTTTCAATGCTCCAAGAGTCAATTGAAAGAATTCAACATTTTGCGACACAATAATTAAACAACAATTATTTAGCAAGTGTAAAACGTAAGACGTTGAATTTGAGGGTGGATAAACTGAGTCACAGAGTGAAGGAGCCCCTCCTCGGTGATAACAACCCCTGTTAAGTGACAAGTGCGCATGCTCAAGCTCTCAAACGTCGGTCAAAGGGGATGATTCTTGTTTCGATTAAAGGAGCCAGCCCTAAGCGTTTCGGAAGTTCTCGGATTTTCTCTTTTCCGCATTTCTTTTTGATAATCCATCAATAAAAGCTGGCCGTAAAAAAGCCGGCAATCGATTTTTATTTTTTTTTCAATAATTCAAATTAATTAAAATAATTTTTAATTATTTCTTCTTTTGAAATAAATATTTTATAAAAAATTGTTCAAAAATCTGAAAAAAAATTTTTTTTTCTTTAAATTTAGTCAACAATTTTTATAAAAATACCTAGAAAAATTAACTACCAAAAATTAATTATAAAAAACAATTTTAATTTCGTGAATAACAAATAGAGAGTATTGATTTTCACAAATTAAAAATTTTTTAATTAATTAAAATAATTTTTAATTATTTTTTCTTTTGCAATTAATATTTTATAAAAAATTGTTCAAAAATCTGAAAAAAAAAAATTTATTTCTTTAAATTTAATTCAAAATTTTTAATTTATAAAAATAAAAATAAAAATACCTGTAAAAAATCAAATTTTTTTTAATTAATTAAAATAATTTTTAATTATTTTTTCTTTTGCAATTAATATTTTATAAAAAATTCATTAAAAAATCTAAAAAAAAAAAAATTTCTTTTTTAATTTAATTAAAACTTTTTAAATTATAAAAATAAAAATAAAAATACCTGTAATAAAATTTCTAATTCAAGATTGACTATAAAAATAATTTTAATTTCGTGAATAACAAACATAGAGTATTGATTTTCACAAATTTAATGTGAAGGTCTACTGCCTAGACTTGATATATAAAAGTCCATGGATTGAGGGTCATATAACTTCTCAAATATCCCCCGATTTTTATCCGTCGTATCTGATTCCAATATTATCAATCTCGAGGAATTTTTTCCGATAATTAGAATCGAAAAAAAATTCACTGAAAATAAAAATATTTAACAAAAGTGTCCATTGATCTGTAAAGCAAAATTTAAGAAAAAATATGTCCCAGTTGGCTGAAAGGAGCCAGTTTTATATATTGATTTCCTTTCTTTTGAGGGTGACAAATAGAGGCGCCATTCGGCTATAATAAAATCCTCATACTCTTGCCAAATATTTATTACCTTGACCATGATCCAGGAAATAAAAAATTGGTATAATATTTCATAACAATTATAGTAATAATAATAATAATAATAAGCGATGCTCTGAATAAATTTATATCTATTATTTGCACCTAAGGCTTTTCTTACTTTTATTTTTTTAGGTACAAAATAAATAATTTTATAAAAATATAAATAGCCCTGTAAATGTTATACTACAATATATCAAGAGTAATAATTTATCTTTCTGTAAACTCTAGATAATTTTTTTTACTATTATATTCAACAATTGCTTTTAAATGGACCGACAAGATTTATTAAACTTCTATTTAAAACTCTTAAAAAATTGACGTTAATACTTTATATTAACAATTTTTAAAAGCTAGTACGATAAATTTACTTGTTTAAAAACCAATATAGTACGACAGTCTTAGTAATTGACCCGACAAACGCTAATACACTATACTTTACTCTAACATTAATTGTCAACCTTAATTTGCATCACTCTTTAAATAGCAATTAGTTATAAATAGGTTTTTTTTTAATGTACAACATTCACTATTAATTTATTCACAAGTGTTAATTACAGTAATCTTAATGAGTGATGCAAAATAAAATACTGCTGAGTACTCCTACCACATTATCCTAAATAAAATCAATTATTATACTATTCAAAAGTTTTAATTAAGTGTTGACAATAATTTATAGATTTTGGATCATAATTTTAGTAGTGCATTTGCAGTGTAAAAATTATTTAAGAACATAATTGAGAGTTGTACCAAATTAATCCTCTTTCAAACAGGAATGTGTATTGAAAGTAATTTTATTAATTCAAAGATTTTTGCCGTTAATTCAAAATAATAAAAATTTTTGATATCAAGGCGAAAATTTTGGTTCTATAAAAAAATTTTTGAAACAAAAGTTCAAAATTTAATTTTGTAAGAAAATGACTTATGTTTTTTGCCTTAATTTCCAAAAGTAATATTCATAATTATCAAAAAAAAAAAAATTATTAATTATTGAATAGAAAAATTGGATTAAAGCTTTATTTTTTAGCAATAAATTTAATTTAATCCAAAAAAAAAAAAAATTTGAACTTTTCATTATTAATTTTAATTTTGAAATTAAGTTTTGTTTTTTTCTTTGAAAAAAAAAATAGACATTTATTTTATAAAATTAAATTTTAAAGAATTTTTGTTCCAAAAATTCGCCATAAAATAAAAAATTTTAATTATTATAAATTTGCGGCAAAAATTTTAGCCCTAATTATTATTTAAAATATGCATAATTGCTCTTTAAACGATTACTTCACAAATAAAATAATAAAACTATTGTACAGAATTGTAACTAGACATATCGTCTATTCTTTGGCGTTTTTCGGCACCTTCTTCTCCCGAAAATAGCTATAAAGACAATAGCAATAGTAGCAATCAGCACAGACCCGACTGCCCAGACGGCAGTGCTCATTCCACCTTTGATTAGTTTTCCAGCTTCATTATTATGTTCCACTTCTTCTTTAATCCCTTTATTATCTTCTCTTTTGACACTTCCATCTGCCTTTTTAACATTAATCGGCACTGCTTCAGTAGTTTTGGCCACTTCTTTTCCAGAATTTTTATCCGTAATAATTTTTGAAGAATTATTTGCTTGCGGCTTAGGCGCTTCTGTACTCAACGGACGTTCATTTTGCTGAGGCTTAGTTGTTGCTTTTTTTGGCATGGCAGTTGTAGGCTTGATCACTTCTGTGGTAGAAGGAGTATTTAAGTCTCTTTGGTATTGATCCTCGAGGGCTTCTAATTTTTTTTCAAGCTCCACCGGTAGGCTACCAACTTCTTTCTCGTCAAGCTCATCCAAATACTGCTCTAGTGGAGAAAAGTAACTCAGCAGAGAATCCACAGAAACGTCGTACAGTTGCAAGTAACTTTTCATAGCTTGGTTCCAATTTTCTGCGCTTCCGTGCTGTATCATTTTACTGCAAATAATTTAAACGCAAATATTTTCATTAATTATTTAATCAAAATTTTTATTAAATAATTATTAAAATTAAAAACTCACATAAAATTATGATTGATGGGTATTTTTTCTAGTTTTTCTGATCTTACTTCCGTTGACTCCATTAAGTACTCGTAAATTTGAAAACCAATTATCGTTCCCATAAATTTACTGTAATAATTATTAATTATTATTAATAATTCATTGTTATCTTCTTGAATTATTCAAATAAAAATACTTACGAAAGATACGGACGATTACTTGTTATAAAACTATCATCTAAAAATGTTGGAAGATTTTCGGAAGAACCAGGTACTACGTGTTCATAATCCAATCTGGTAGAAAAAAAAAATATCCGTGAATATAAAGAAGAAATTAATTATTTTCATTTAAGATAATCATCTTCATTTTCATTACCTATATTTCCACCACGAACTCGTTAAATTTTCTGGATCAAAAGTGTTATTTTTAATGACATCTATTCTCCATTGATCAGCGCTAAAATAGTACGCCATTCGCGGAAGTACATCTAATGCTGTCATCATAATAGAGACAAGATGAGCTTCTTCAGTTTTATCAGTCTCATTAATTAAATTTAATGTGGTGAGCCATGCTTGACTTGAAGCCAAAATTCCGAATAATTCTGATACTCCTTCTTCTAGCGCTGTTGAATAATTTTACCAAAGATTAATATACTTAACAATGTTATTATTATTATTAATAGTAATTATAATTAATTAATTAATAAAAAAATTACCAGAGTATCGATTAGCGCCATTTACAATAGGCATACTTTCTTCAGACATTTGATGGATTAAAACCTTAGCGATATTTTTATGAGCTGACAAATAATTTGAAATTGATGGCTCAGAACATGTATTGACTCTTAGTCTTCCCTGGCGACAGAAATTTACCAGCCGGGATGGACACTGACCTTGGAAATTACTCTTATCAAAAAATTGTGCTTCTGGTACATGTTTTAATGTTATGCTTGCTAGTCTAGATACTGATTTGTATAAATTTTTTCCTATAAGATTCTGAAAAAGAAAATTATTGTATAAAATAATTAAGTCATCAATTTTTAAATAAGTAATTAATATAAAAATACCTTTTGCCAGAGATTTTTTCTAATTTCAAAAATAAAATCAGGATGAGGTACTATGTCCATTGCAAGAGGTGTCCAATCATATCCTTGAAGAGTTCCTTGATAAATAAAAAATAAAATAAAAATTCTTTTGAATTAAATTGATAATAAATAAACTTACCAAGTAAATGAGCAGGTATCCCCTCGCCTTTAATGAGATCTTTGTATCTTAAAGTTAAATGAGTTTTAACAAATTTAACTATTTTATCATAGAGAGATGAAATTTCACTCCATTTATCTTTGGCTTCATTGTATCCATTTTTGTATTCACTGAGCATTTCCCAGTACTCTGTTACATCATTAGCGCCTATGTGCAAGAAAGAGAAACCAAATTAATGCTTATTAGCAAAAAATAAAGATTTAAAAATATTATAAGCAGAGGAAATAAATAATTGTAAAAAGGATTGCTCTTTTCAGGGACATTTATGATGTCAAGCTTGTTGATATGCAAGACACAAGGAAGAATTGCGTAAAGAAAATACTCAGCAATTCCATGAAATTATAACTAATAAGCATGTTTATTTCACTGACCATTCGCGATGGCGGCTTTCTGAACAAGCTGCAAATTATTTGATAATTTTGTTGTTAGTGGTTGTAACGTTTGATGCCAAGATCTCCATGCTTTTAACTTTTCTTCAGCACTTGCATTACGCGCCAGTGAATCTTCAGCTTCTGTACAGTTAAACAAATAATTAAAAATAAAAATTTTAAATAATTATAAATAATTTAAAATAAATACTTTGAATTAACGATTAAAAGTCTGAATAATTTATCTTTTAAATAAATATCGATCAAATTACTTTTGCGCAATGAATTATTTGATCCTGATGTATAATTTCCAGATAATCGTATTAATTCAGCTTCACTAACAAATGATATAAAGCTTGTCCAGTCTTGAGGCTCAAGCAATGCATCACCCGGTTTACTAACAAGATTCAATTTGTATTCAATCGCAGGGCTTGACCGAGTTTCATTTATTCTCTCATCTAAGTCTTTCACACATTTACGCTTTATTGATCCATATGCAGTCAATGAATCTTCCTGGAATAAAGAAGAAATAAAATTTTTAGTATCAAACTTCCATTTAAATAATTTAAATATTTTTTACCCATGGTTTAAGAGTTTGATTCGTTGGATTTTTAATAAACGTCCACTCAGATTCAGCGGACTTGAAACAAGCGTCTTCATACTCTAACCCGGTGAACTGCAGAAAGACATTTAATTCCTTGTCCGGATTTCCATTTTCTGACAAAACATCTTCAAATGCATTTGCATAGATTATAACACTCAAAATCGCATAACACCACTTCAGATTCATACCTTGTACCTAGAAAAAAAATATATTTATTTACAATATAATATAAGAAATCTTTTATCAATTCTTGAAGCAATAACTCAAGTAAAATTCAATCGCAAATACCCTGGAGACAATAATAATAATAATAATAATAATAATAATAGATGATTGATCTCACGGACAGTAATCTTCAATTATTTAATTTCTCTGGGCAATTGCCAATGAAGATTGCTCGAGTCAAGGAGATTAATATAGTTTGATTGAATATTTCTATTAATAATTTTTTATCTTTAAATTATTTTTCTAGTAGTTTGTAAACAAGAAACTTAAAAACAACTTTACAAACATTAAATTAATAATTATTTTGTATCTATAAATTATTTTTCTAATTTATAAAGAAGAAATTTAAAAACATTAAATTAATAATTATTTTTTATCTTTAAATTATTTTTCTAGTTTATAAAGAAGAAACTTAAAAACAACTTTGCAGATATTAAATTAATTCAATTGTATTTTATAAATAAATGGCATTGTTTTTCATGAAAAAAAAAAATCTTGAAAGTATTATTACTTTTAAAGCGACCTGGTCCGTAAGTAAAAACAAGTCTACTGTAAAATGTTACGCTGTTACGTAATCGCATAGGACATTCGTTTTCATACATCAGTTTTTTTTTCAAACTTGTTTTTTTTTAGCTATTTTATCTCAATGATTTTTAACTGATTGTGAATTTTTAATGCTTGTATTTTTAGTACAGAGCAATAGAGAATTTTTTTCCTTAACATTTAAATAGCAGATAAGATCATATATTTTTCTTATCAATTGATATTTTGACATTCTTTTTACAATTTATCATTTGTGTTTTAAAAAAATATTTAGCAAATCGGATATCCTGTTACTTTAAATATTAATTAAATAACTTAATAGTTTTATAAATTATTTTAAAAATTGCCGTTTTTTATATGGTAATAATGACATCACGTGACCTATGTAATTTTGTATTCATTGTATTAGCTTCTACTTTGATTAAACGTATTATTAAATACGTTCCCTGTCATGGTTCGAGTGAATAAAATTACCATTCAGTTACTGATTGTCTTGGTACAAACGTATGATTTTTATTCAATTTTAAAATTAGTAAAAAACTCCGAATTTTAAAATTCAATAAAAATTTTTTAATGGATAAAATAAATTTATAGACTATTAATAAATTTTACTATTTGCGTTTTTAAATTTTTACTATTTTTTTTTAAAGACTTTTGTTTAACCTTTGGCTCTGTGTCAAGGTTCAGACCTAGATGCTGCGCTCAACAATTATAGTACATTTAATATTTCTCAGCGGACTGTTCAATATTTATCATTATAAATACTAACATTGTAAATAATAAATCATAAAAGATTTAATTATTCCACGCGGCAAGGTGATTTTATAATTATTAACTATTCGGAAAACTCACATTAATCATTTACATCTTTTATTTTCTTTTTTTTTATCAATTAATCTTGATAAGATAGCAATTGAAAAATTATTTTTTTTTATTTTTTATTCATTGGGAAACACAAAATTCCAATTAGACATTAAATTTATGAATCATACTTTGAATAAATTTTATGACTAATAGAATGGAATAATATAGAATATAAATTCTTCATTAATTTAAACTATCGAAAGGTATTTTTCTATCGCAGTGAAAGTCATGAATTAAACGCATTCCTTTTTTTTTTTTTATAAAATTAACTGTCTAGTAAAAGTAAACTTAAAAAATTTTTATGAAGAATTTAAAGTTGAATTTTTAAAAACAATTTTTAACTTGAATAATCTATAATAATAATAATAATTATTATTATTATTTAATAAGCCTTGGCACTCCATAATTGTATATACTCGATATTACAACAATTATATTTTATTTGATAATTGAATTTACGTGATTTCACACTAAAAAACAATTAATTATTAAATAAAAACAGAAAAATCAGACTTTTTTTTAATGAAAAAATTAAAAAAAAATTTTTTTTAATTTAATGAATAAAAAAAATAAAAATAATAATTTTTTTTTAATGAAAAAATTATAAAAAAAAAAAATTTAATTTGTAAAAAACTTCAAGTGCAATTTTAAAAAAATATTTTTTCTAATTTAATTAATTAAAAAAATGTCAGCTGATTTTAATATTATAAAAAATAAACATTTACCTTTAATTTTATTTTATAAATCTAAATCTAAATAAATCAAAACTAAAAAGATAAATAAGCTTGTCATAGATTAAGAAGAATATCAAAATATCTTTGAAGGATTTAATGCCACTGTTTCGTTATGTTAAACTTGGCCGGGTATTTTATCACGCGATGCCGACTCAACTGCGAAAATGTATCCACTTGACTGATGTTGATGTACACCAGCAAAACTCAGTATACACTATTCGCTCAACTACACACAACGAGTATAGTAAACAGAAACAGCACACACCGAGTCCAAATTCTGAATAACGAGCAGTAAAAAATTTATTATATTATATTAATGACAGATTAAAGATAAAGATATGATATAACAGTACAATTATATCGACTACATATGATAACTCTTATCTTAAAAAACTATAAAACAAATTTGGCGCGATTCACTCGCTTGCTAACGACAATTAGTTCAAAGTTCGATTGATCGTGATTTTGTTTAGTTCCACTACAATTACACTTTTTATTGTTATTATTACAATATTATTATGGTCAGTATTCTCATGTAAGGTATGATCGAGTAGTTTCAGTCATAAATAACTCTAGTTAGATAGATTTACTTCCACTATCTGCACACTGACATTTATATTTTTCTTGTTCTTCTCCGTTGGTCAGATAGGTTATGTTACCGCGTTGGATAAAACAGTTCCCGGGGAATTTATTTATTTTATTAGATGTTAGATTTTATTTTATTACTGACTTTTCATGTGTCACGTTTAAATGTTTATATTTATACACTATAAAAAATTTAATTTGTTTATTAAAATAAATCTTGTAAGTATTTACTGTCAAATTGCTGGTAATTAAAGAATTTTTTATTGAATATTTGACAACAATGATGTAATGTGTTTTTTTATTCTCGATTGTGTCTTATCGGGATTCCCAGAAGTGAATATTGTCAATTTCATTTCCAAAGAAATTCTTACGTCGCATTACGTCGAAGAACAAAAGGCAAGTAGGTGCAGAAATTAAATTAACCTTTTTTTAACAAATAAATTATTTAAAAAAAAAAAAGCATTTTTGATTTTTTAAAATTTCTTTGTCAATTTTTCTTTTTAATTACCATAATTTATTTGTCAAAAAATTATTAAAATTATAAAATTACTAAATTATTTTTGACTGGTTTAAGTAATAATGATTATTTTTTATTAGATAAAATTATAAAGTATCAAGTGAGTGATAAAAAAAAAAAAAAACGGTGTTGATATTATTTGCTGATAAAAATATATCAGATTATTTTGTCTTTGTGCTGAGCGCAGTATATTCACTATGGATTTTGTGAAAAAGAAGGTAATTTTATTTTTTATGACACTTATTTAATTAATTAATTATAATAAATAAATAATTTGATATTATTTATAATTTTTAGTTTCTAAACTGGCACAGTGGAATAGAAAAAAAAATTCCCTGTCACTTTTGCAGTGTCAAATTATCTGATGAGATTTATTCATGTGATTTTGGTCATGACGTATGTCAGGCATGCAAAACTGATTCCTGCATAGCTTGTAAAAAATCATCTTCGTTTTTTCGGAATCATATTGCTGAATTTTTAGTTTCACAATTAAACAGTTTGAAGGTAAGTTTTTTCTTTCTACATGTCAATTTCTTGTCATAATTTATCTGTGACAAAAATTAAACTATAAAACTTTTTTTTATAAATATTTATTTTTAGAGTGATGTTGAGTTACTGGATGATTCTGTTATCGCAGGAACAAAATCCGAGTGTAAAAACCAAATAAGTCAGACAAAAATTGAATGTAAAAATCAAATAAGTCAGACAAAAATTGAATCAAAAAGTAAATTCAGTCAGACACAAAATGAGCAAGATAATAAAATCAATCTGGCAGCTAAAAATGTTGACGAGTCTATCGAGAATAAATCTTTGACCGTTGAAAAATCAGAAGATGAGCCGAAAAATAAAAATGACAATCCATCAAATTTTTTTGGTATATATCAATGCTGGATTGGCCGTGATTGCTACCTCAAAGGAAATCAAGCTTCAATTTTAGCTCACATAAAAAATCAACATCCTCAAGAATTTACTTCAGTAAGTAATTTAATTTCTCATCAATTTTAATTTAATTTAACTTCTAATTACACATTTTTTGATATCTAAAATAATAATTGATTTTTATAGCAACCTTTCAAAGGCTGGCCACACGTAGTAGCTTGGGATTTAAATTACAATGGAGCTAATACTCGCGAGGATCGCGCTTTCGAGATTCAAGGTGTTGGATTGTTTGTCCTGCATATATTTGTGACCCACGAGCAACATCTAAAAGCTCATGTTTTAATGTTTGATGGTGGCAGAACAGCTGCTCAATATCGATATGAAGTGGAGATAAAATGTGACGATAATAAAAAATCATTCAGCGCTGCAGTAAGTAAAAATTAATTTTTTAATATTTAATTATAAGTGTTTTAATTTAAAATATTGGTTAAAGGTTGACAGTAGCAGATTGCCAAGAAAAGCTCTTCACGATCGTAGCAAAGGATTATTTATCAATGAAAATTCGATGTTACAAAGCACGATTAAAATGAAAATGAAGTATAGGTGCACAGTTCAAATAATGAAAATTAATGACACTAATGAGAAAAAAATTCTGGATAATTTTGAGAGTCCAGAGGTTGAAACTAAAGTGAGGGATCATAAAAATCCGAAAACTTTGAACAAAAAGCAATTCAAGCCAATGCGAAAAAATGCAAATCAATTTAAAGATAAGTCTAAGCCAGGATTGTTGGATCTTAGGAATGTCAAGATTGCAGATTGCTCATCATTATCAGAGACCACTGTTCCTCCTGTTCATCTTCGTAAAAATAATCCATTCAGTGTACCAGGAAATTCTCAGCTGTATCCTAATCTTCAGAAAGAGTTCAACTACCAACAAATGCCGCCTCAGAATCCTCATATGGCGAACAATAATTTTAATATGAATATGCAGCAGCCTATGAACGTTCAACCAGGTCCGTTTTATCCCCAGCCACCTGTCTCTTTCAATGAGCATTATCAACGCAATGCACCACCGCCTGCACCTCCGTCTGCTCCTCATATAGACATGGAAAGTAATTTTCATCTACCGAACAAACCTGGAAATTTTACTGCAGCTAATTTAGAGAGGCAGAAATTGATTCAGCGCCAGATTGAAGAACAAGAAAAAGATCGGTTGATACGATCAGGCGCTTCGATTTTTGAAGCACCTCAAGAAGAAAGGAGAAAATATAAAAATTATAAAAATGACTTTGATTCACGTGGGAAAAAATCTAACGAGTGTGTTTTGTCTTAAGCACTTTATTTTTTAATTTTTTTTATTAATAATTAAAACTAAAAAGTATTGTTAAAAAATTACACGTATAATTTTTAAGATATTCCACATGTAAAATTTATTTTTTAATAATTTTTCAATAAAATAAATTCATACCTATTAAAATGATGTATTTATTACATATTTTATTGATATTTAAAGAAAATATTTTTAATATTAATAAATTTTTATTTTTATCAAATAAATTATAGCTCTAGATTAACGTAAAAAATTTATTTGATGAAAAATTATGTAATGTTTTTATTAAATCATTAAAAAAAAAATCATTGCGATTTGCACTGATAGCCATCCAATTGTAAAAGTTAACGTTAAAGTTAAAGTTGCAGTCCAACTTTTATACAATCTAGGGCCGAAATTTGACTTTAACTTTTATCAAAATGTTTTAGTAAAAGTCTTAATGTGAAGTTTTAGTGAAGTTGGACAAAATGAATGAAAACACTTATTGATATGGCAGTTTATCAGAATTTGTCTCTTTTTTACATCGGTAGGTAATTTATCGGTAAAAAAACGAAGCACAGTAAAAATTTTTAATTACTGCCTTGTCAAAAAAATTAACATTTAATTGTTAAACCGGGGACTCGAACCCGAATCGCCTGATTCCTAGCCAAGCCCACTATCAGATGAGCTATCTTCGACTCATACCATCATCGCGTTTTCAGTCACTTATATCTGACACAATATTTTACATTATAAAAATAATGTAAAAAATGTAAAATTGTATTTGCAATTATGAATATTAAGTGAGTGAATTGAATTAATTTAATAGTTTTTTGTTTTTAGCTATGACATTGAAGTTAGCAATCACTTGACTATTTTGTAATTTTTTTTTAACAAATAAATTAATTCCAAAAAATTATTTATAAAAAATTACATTTTTTATTATTATTATTAGCTTTGTTAGATATTTGTTACGTTATTATTTAGCCGTTCAAACAAGGGATCATAGAATTTTCCTCACACGTGTCTTTTATGGCTTTTCCTCAGAATCTCAAGTACCTAAGGTTTCTCAGAACTCAATAACTACAATGTCCCTTTGTACTCGATAATAGCTTACATTTATTTGAAACAAAATATACTCTATGAAATATAAATAATCAACGATACAGAACCTAAATTATCTAATTTGGACAGTGTTCACTATTTAAATTATGAATTAATAAAATAATTTAATATAATCTAAATTACATTAAAATTTTTTTTTTTTATTAGGAAAAATAATATACAACCCTGATAGCCACCTTACCTATAACTTACTGTCAATCTACGTCCGCAATTTGAAGCAAACTTGACGGAAAGAGTTGGCAAAGCGAGCGATTACCTATTAGTTACCTATAACTTGCTGTACAAGTATTTCCGTCAAATTGTAGTAAAGTTGAAAGGAAATTTAACTACAAGTTTGATTGCTAACTTGTATATTCAAGTTGCGGCCATAGATTTCCGTCAATTTGCTTACAACTGTTGTTGAGTGAAGAATTACCGCCAACTTGATGTATAAATTAACCGTAACTGCTGGAAGTCAACGCTTACTGAGAAAGCGCTGGCTATCAGGGAAGGCGTTGGTGTAAACCAATGTAGCCAAACATTTAAATTTGCACTTCACTGGCTGATAGCGTCATCTGCTGGATGCATCTAGAGGCATTACAACTCGTAACGAAAGCTCTATCTGAACGAATTTTTTTTCGTTGCTTAACAAGCATGAGAGACATCTTCAGGCCTTCAGAAAACTAGCAACGGGAAGCGTTTTTATCGCGGATTTGAGTTGCTTAGGCCATATAATAAGACTTCGGTCTCCTGTGTGTAGTCATCATATACCTAACCTAACTTAAAAACTACGAATAAGTAATTTAAGTGCTGAATTCAAAAATAATTACGGGAAGTAACCTCATTGGTTAATTTCCGACAAAACATTACCAGTGGATGTTTTATTTAATAATAGTACTTATTATTTTACATCGTCATCTTTTTTAATGTAAGTATTACTGCCAAACAAATTTATAATATACACGATAATTCAACTAGGCGCGAATAATTCAGTGCCCTTCGATTGGGTTATGTAGTAAAAAGCGTCAAATAATATTTTTTATTGCAGTGATAGTGATCATTTTTATTATTGTTATTATAGATTGTGGATAGTTATTATGATGGGAATGATTATAAATGATACGTTAACATATATATACATAGGAAGCCATTGGTAACCAGTATAGTACACTGGTACTGTTTATCAGCAAGTACTTATGATTTCCGACGCCCCCGTTCTTCTTGCTCTACCATTCACTCTTATTACTTTATGTCCTGCCATTTAATTATACTAAAATTATACTTAATTGCTCCAAAAATCAACGAAAATTAAAACAAATTTATTGAATATTGAAAAATGGATGATGACGAAGGAACATCAAGCTCCGGACCAGTGTCATCCTTGAACAGTCTATTTTCTTTCACCAGTCCAGCAGTTAAAAAACTTCTAGGTTGGAAGCAGGGCGACGAGGAAGAAAAATGGGCTGAGAAAGCCGTTGACTCGGGTTCCATGATTTTTGATCCCCCGACAAAATATCCCCGACAAATTATACCCAAGACAAAAATTACTCGACAAAATATCCTAAATAAGCCGTCTATCTTACTGCATATTTTTTACAAATTATGGCAAAAGAAATTATCAAAAAATTTCATTTATATTTTTAATCAAATTTGTGTGTGTTTATTCGACATTAGACTAAAACAAACGCTTGTTATCGTGTTGTGCCCTTTTATCATTGCGCCTTTTGATAATTTCTTTCTTTTATTCAAATTTTCGATAACTATAACCGAATTTGAAGGATATTTTGTCGGGTAATTTTTGTCTTGGGGATATTTTGTTTGGGGATCAAAACGCCTGATACCGTTGACTCGCTGGTTAAAAAAATTAAAAAAAAGAAAAGGCGCTATCGAAGATTTGGAGCACGCTCTTAGTTGTCCAGGTACATCGAGAAAGTGTGTTACGATCCCGCGGAGTCTTAATCGGCGACTTCAGGTGTCGCATCGTAAAGGCTTGCTGCACGTTATCTATTGTCGAGTGTGGAGGTGGCCTGATTTGCTAGAACCCCGAGCTAAAACCTCTGGAGCTGTGCCAATATCCGTTTTCAGCCAAGCAGAAAGAAGTTTGCATCAACCCTTACCATTACAAACCCGTTGAGAGTCCTGTGTTACCACTGGTACTCGTGCCAAGACACTCAGAATATGCACCAGGGCACTCGTTGCTGCCCTTTGCCCAGATCCTTTACTACCAATATCCTGTTACGTGAATTTTGGAACGCTTCACGTAATAATTACCGTAATTCCTATTCTTTCCCGCTTCACAGCATTATTTAAATTGGTTGCACAATTTCTCTCTGCGCACAATTACTCTCCTAGAGTGTTAATCATGGATTCGAAGCTGTCTACGAGCTTACCAAAATGTGTTCTATAAGGTAAATTTTATGTAATATTAATGACAAAGACACGACGATGCCACACAATGTCTCTCACTCAACTAGTGTATTCAATGCTGGGCCTACTGGAGGCTCGAATATAAATCCCACGTCGCCCATGTCCTTAATAAGCTCGGTACCAAGTCCCGGGAGCACTTCAAATAATTCCCAGAGTCCGTACGGCACAAACGGCTTACCAGAGACACCGCCACCAGCTTATTTGCCGCCAGATGATGGATCACAAACTGTACAATCACCGCCACCTGATCCCGCGGCCATGGACACCACCGGTGCGGCAGAAGTTTTAATAAGTGCAAACATAGAATTACCGGTGATTCAATAATATTTACCGATATTATCATTAATAATTACAATATTATATATAAATACAGATATATAATCAAGTTTAAATGTGAAGATAATGGATATAATAGACGTATGCTCCATTGCTAAATACATTGAACTGAGAAGAAGCCTTATAAATCATTGAGTAATTAATTAACGTAAAAAATGATAATATTTTTTACTACAATATATGTATTAATCATAGAAAAAAAATGTTAAATATTTTATAAACAACTTGATCAGCATAACGTTTTGTATTTTATATAGACGTTATGAGAGATTTATGTGCAATTTTAAAAAGGTTACTGTTTTAAATATCGATCACACAAAAGTTGATAAAAGACAGCTCGTAATGTAGAATAAATAATAGTTTAAAAAAACTAAAAACACGCTTTTTATAGAAAATCAAACTAAAAAATAGAAAATAAATTTTAATAAATTTAAATTAAGAATAGCGTTAAAAATTTCAATAAATATTAATTAATAATAGTGTGAATAAAAAAAAAATATTTTAATTTTAAAACTTTTTAGTTTGGTTAATTTATAAAAGCGTGATTTTTTAGTTTTTTTAAACTATTATTTGTTTTGTAGGATTAAAATTCTCCTTAGTATTCGAAAATTTGTCAATATTAGAGAAATTGGCTAAAGATAATTATTAAAAATTAAAATTAACATCAAGTCCTGTCTTATCGACTGTAGAGAAAAATTATAGGCCGCAGGCGCGAAAATTACCCACGGAGAGTTACATACTGACATACTGACATACTGACATACAAGTGAAGCTAATAAAAAGCGTGTAATGAATCGTGTCTATGAGTGTCCACAATGACTATTTATTTTATGATGATTGATTATTATGGATCTCAGAACAGATTCCTTAAAAAAAAAATCAAAAAAACACTGATTTTTTTTCAAGAATCTGGAGTTGCTGTCAGAAAAATCTAGTACAAGCAATTACAACAAGCAAGAAAACGCAATTTTATAATCTCCATCAAATTCCGGCACCAATTTTTTTAGCTAATAATATATCTATAAATATAAATTTATATAATATTATTGTATAATTTATTTATTTATATCAGCACTCTTTATATTAATAATTCGTTTCAACAATCGAAGCTATAATTTTAGCGATTTCAAAATTCAGTGTAGTGATTTACATTTTAATCGACAGTGGCACTTGACTTATTTGTACATATATAAATCTATTTTAATTTCAATTTTTCTATAACTATACTTAATATTAAAATTTTAAAATATTAGGCTTGGGCTTCGTCATTTTACATCACTTGTAGACACCCACGAGAATCAACTGCCACTTAAAACTATAAAAAATTTTGTCTTTTATCATTTGTAATTGTTATTTTTTGCTTATTTATTTTCTGGCTTAACGTTTTATTAATTTTAATTGTGATGTATAAAGATAAACAGTCATAATCAAGAGACAATGTTTACAATAGAGAATGTTCCGTATATTAAAACAGTTTCAAAGCTAACTATAAAACAAATTAGTTTATATTTATTCAATCATTATCTCTATTTATCAGACGCAGTTTAAAATTAAACTCTTATGAGATCGGCGTCTGTTTATATCTTGCATTGTTTTATCTTTTATTATACAAAAAAATTTATATTTTATTATTTTATAGACAATAGACAATATTCAGAAGTTTTTATTTCATTTTTAATTACAGCGAATTTTATTTATTTAATTTTTTTTTTTTTTTTAAATCTATCAATAAAGTATAATGAATAATGCTTCTCAAAGGCTCATATTAATACTGTCAAGTTAATCGGTAGGTATATTTAATAAGGCTGAAAAAGTTTCCCAGACAGCCATTGCGGAAAGCAATTTCATGTCATGATTAACACTTTATAAAATTTTTTTTTTATAAATAAAATATAAAAACATATTCACAAATTAATATATAAAATAGCGCGAATAAAAATAATAAACAACTATTGATACAGTCATAAATCATGATAAAATAATAATAAATATTGGAAAAACATGATTTGGAAAGTAGTTTTGATAAGCATAATTAATTTGCTTTCCGCTGGTCGTCAATACATCTTAATACTTTCATTTGAAACACTTTCTTTTAGCACCAGTCTTACTTGAATGCTGGTTATAATAATGTATAAAATAGCAATAGCATTTAATTATAAAATTGACAGTAACCTTTTAAAAATTGCACATAAATCTCTCATAACGTCTTTATAAAATACAAAACGTTATGCTGATCAAGTTGTTTATAAAATATTTAACATTTTTTTTCTATGATTAATACATATATTGTAGTAAAAAATATTATCATTTTTTACGTTAATTAATTACTCAATGACTTATAAGGCTTCTTAGTTCAATGTATTTAGCAATGGAGCATACGTCTATTATATCCATTAGCTTCACATTTAAACTTGATTACTAGAAATTTGAATAGCGCGCTACGCGGGCGCTTAAATTTTAACCAATAATGAATCGTGGCCCGTTTTTTTGCGAGTCTCGACCTTTGACTAACTTCAAGACTATCATGTATTTTAATTTAAAGGATATAAACCAAAAAAAATATATAAATATTAATTACAAGTCTAAGAAAAATTTTTAATTTTTAAAGTCACTAAAACGTTGCAAAGTTAAAAAATTTAAGATTTATTTATTTATCGGCTCAAGATTTTTTTAATTTAATATTACATAAAATTTACCTTATAGTACACATTTTGGTAAGCTCGTAGACAGCTCCGAATCCATGATTAACACTCTGGGAGAGTAATTGTGCAAATTCAGCATTATTAAAAATCTTGAGTGAACATCCGGGTGGTATCTTGCATACCGTACTGGGATGAAAGCCATGATGATGATTACAATTTCTAGATTGTACGAAAATCGCCGAGTCCGACAAACATTCAGCGTATACCTGGCTACCAACATAGTATAAATGAACGCCTTTACCAATATGTCTTCTTGTGTTCTCTATCGTAGAATTTCGATTTACGTTTGACAGCTGTCCGAGGCAAAAGCGGTCCGAGTTGTTGCTGGGGTTTGTGAATCCGTCGACAATCACAGAATGAGACTGACAGTGAAAGACTTCACCAACGCGGTAGTTCAACTCGTAGTAAGTAATCGTTGCCTAGTAAAGTGGTTCCTGATAGCATACCGAATTGAATTCTGCCACACCGGTGGTATCCATGGCCGCGGGATCAGGTGGTGGAGATTGTACAGTTTGTGATCCATCATCTGGCGGCGAGTAAGCTGGTGGCGGTGTCTCTGGTAAGCCGTTTGTGCCGTACGGACTCTGGGGATTATTTGAAGTGCTCCCGGGACTTGGTACCGAGCTTATTGAGGACATGGGCGACGTGGGATTTATATTCGAGCCTCCAGTAGGCCCAGCATTGAATCCACTAGTTGAGTAAGAGACATTGTGTGGCATCGTCGTGTCTTGGATCTGGGGAAAGGGCAGCAACGAGTGCCCTGGTGCATATTGTGACTGTCTTGGTACGAGTACCGGTGATAACACTGGACTCTTAACGCGTTTGTAATGGTAAGGGTTGATGCAAACTTCTTTCTGCTTGGCTGAAAACGGATATTGGCACAACTCCAGGGGTTTTAGCTCGTGATGTGACTGCAAATCAGGCCACCTCCACACTCGACAATAGATAACGTGCGGCAAGCCTTTACGATGCGACACCTGAAGTCGACCATCAAGAGTCCGCGGGATCGTAACACACTTGCTCGGTGTACCTGGACAACTAAGAGCGTGCTCCAAATCTTCGATAGCGCCTTTTGTTTTTTTTTAATTTTTTAACCAGCGAGTCAACGGCTTTCTCAGCCCATTTTTCTTCCTCGTCGCCCTGCCTCTAACCTAGAAGTTTTTTAACCGCAGGACTGGTGAAAGAAAATAGACTGTTTAAGGATGACATTGGTCCGGAGCTTGATGTTTCTTCGTCATCATCCATTTTTCAATATTCAATATATTTGTTTTAATTTTCGTTGAGATTTTTTTCACTTCACTGTAAAGAAAAAAAATTCATTATTAGTCATTATAGATATTTGTTATGGAAATAATATTAATTTAGGGTAATTAATTAATTTTACATTTAAAATATTTAAGAATGTGTTTAAGTATTTGGTCCTAGCGTGTTAGGCTAATAGACCGGGAACTTCCGAGTTTTAATTTATTGAGAGTGATAGGTTTGTTTGAATAAATTGATGTAGTTGAATAATTTTAATACATATATTGTTCAAGTCCAAAACTAATATCATTAGTTAAATTATAATAGTTACAATTATTACACAGTGATTGAAGTTAATTTTTTTTTCATATAACGATTTTACAATATTACTAAATTCACAAAAATTAATAATTTAAAATATACCTGATAAAAATTGGTGAATCTTGTTAATTCAATTTGCTTTAGTAGATTTCACTTTCCGATTTTATTTTACCTTTACAAATGTTTTACTTTCTATACAAAAGATTTACACGTGGTCTATTGAGACTTATTTAAACTATGTACGATGTTAACACTAGGACGTCAGGACAACGAGAGATTTTTTGGTGACAATTGCGAGGTGTCGAATTTTAGGGCGTAACTCATTTCCACTTATTGGGGGAAACGAAAGTCCAATTATTTGTCTATTTTCTTGGGCCCTTACCCTCTCTCTTAAATTTGTCTAAAAATGTTGCATGAGTCCCTCTACTTGGGTCAGAGTGCAACATGCTTTCTCACGTACTCTTATGTTCTATTATTCATCTATGTGTTTGTGTATACGTAAGCGCATTTACGCATAGACAAAGACATACATTTATACTGTCTACATTAATTTATTTATTAAAATCGTATGAATAAATATATACTTGAATCGAACATCTCTTACGTTTCCTTGGATTTAATTATTTATTTGTAGTAATATTTCTGTTTTATCGTTTTATAAATTTGTTGTATTATTTTAGAATTTAATTGTTTAATATTTGTTTATTTTAAATTATTTAACTTTCAAGTTCTATTTTTTTTTATTTGTTCCTTATTTCATATTTAATTTCTGTTGTCTAAAAATTATTTCAGAAAGTGCATTATTAAAATTTATTTCGATATTTGACTTACAACACTAAAATTCTGTAATTAAGTTATTCTAAAATCTTTTGGTTTGAAATAAATCTTTTAAGTATTTATTATTTTAAGTATAACTGAGTTTGCTTACGTATAACAAAACTCCCATTCATCTATTTAATCTCTTTATATTAATATACCTGGGCCCCAGACTAATTACGGGAATTTCCCTGGGCCTTTTGCGAAAATCGAACGAGACACTTAATGACCGCACTCGAATTAATAACAATCGTTAAAATTTAAATAAAATCATACTCGATTTTATTATAATTAATAAATATGTAAAGAAAAATTTCTTTACATAACATATTTATGGATTTAAAAAATAAAAACGCGGGGTAAATTGTAAAGGGTATATTTTTGGAGCAATTAAGTATAATTTTAGTGCGTGAGTTTGTAATTGATAAGCAGCACGAAGGTAATTAAATGGCAGGACATAAAGTAATAAGAGTGAATGGTAGAGCAAGAAGAACGGGGGCGTCGCAAATCATAAGTACTTGCTGATAAACAGTACCAGTGTACTATACTGGTTACCAATGGCTTCCTATGTATATATATGTTAACGTATCATTTATAATCATTCCCATCATAATAACTATCCACAATCTATAATAACAATAATAAAAATGATCACTATCACTGCAATAAAAAATATTATTTGACGCTTTTTACTACATAACCCAATCGAAGGGCACTGAATTATTCGCGCCTAGTTGAATTATCGTGTATATTATAAATTTGTTTGGCAGTAATACTTACATTAACAAAGATAACGATGTAAAATAATAAGTACTATTATTAAACAAAAAATCCACTGGTAATGTTTTGTCGGAAACTAACCAATGAGGTTACTTCCCGTAATTATTTTTGAATTCAGCACTTAAATTAATTATTCGTAGTTTTTAGGTTAGGTTAGGTATATGGAGACTACACACAGGAGACCGAAGTCTTATGGCCTAAGCAACTCAATTAACTCAAATCCGTGACAGTGGGTGCTCACTCAATGCTTTTAGATTGGGCAGTTATTTTAAGTCAGCTACAATGTTTAGCCAACATAACGAGACGATTTTTTCTAGGTGTGACAAAAAATGAATTTTGTAATTTTGTAGTTGGCCGCAATTGTGGCGGTACTGTCAGCGCGGTCACGCCTCTAGTGGCAGACTCGCAACCAAAAACGCCTCAACACCGCCAAGCGCCAACAACTGGGACCATTCAACGTACTGTAGATCTCACACGAACATACACAAATAAATCGCTGAAGATACCACCGCTGCGCTGTGGCATCCAAATAATCTAATTAATCCAATTAAAGTTTATTAATGTTGTATAGCCCAAAATTGGCTATAGTAAATTTATTGAGTTCTTTTAATTCACCCGTTGGAACGCGGTAGGGCGTTCAACTCGCAGTAAATAGATTAAGGCGGGAGAGTAGATTTAAATTCGAATAAGTTGAATTAAATAATATATATAATAAATTAAAAATACTCGGATTATTTTAGTTTAATTTAGATTTGCCTTGCGCGCAAATCTATTATTTATTATTCAATAAATTACTAAATAGAAAGTACCGACAATAATTCCGAAAAAGAAAATATCCGCGTGGCGTACTTAAGTCTTGCTTATTGATAAGTATCTTTTTGTTTCCGTTGTCCGACTCCCCTGGTTGAGTCGTACCTTATGTTCGTACCTTTAGAGTGGGAGTGGCCCAGAGGGTAGTGAGGGTAGTTGCGCGCGCCTCTACAGCTCTCATCTTCGGCTAGCATCCCTTCTCGAGTTGGCAAAATGGGACCATGTTGAAATGACGTCACGATGACCCTCGATGTTTCCAGGTCATTTGCAGCCCGCCTGAATATCTGGTTTTTATGACCTAGCCTTGGGTACCCGAGTAATCCCTTTTTAACGAACGTTTTGGAAAATGAGCTTCTTAAAAGATTATGACAATAAAAATTAATAAATAAAGATCTCTGGGTTTTGTCTAGTTTAGTAGAATATTCCAAAACGTTCAGTATTTTATTCTAAGTGACCATTACATTTAACGTAAACTTA